CCATTTCCTTACCAACACTTGTTGTTTCTTCCACTTTTGATAATAGCTTTTATAACAAATGGTATCTCATTTGTGGTTTTGGTTTGCATTTCCTCGATGATTAATGATGCTAAACACCTTTTTGTGTACTTATTGGCCATCTATATGACTTCTTTGGAAAAATATCTATTGAGAACTTCTGCTTATTTTTTAATCGATTTTTTTGGCTATTGAGTTGTTTATATATTTCGAATATAACCCCTTTTGAGATATATGGTTTGGAAATATTTTCCCTTATTTAATAGTTTTTAGTTTGTTGTAGTTTAGTTTGCTTGGTCATTTTTGCTTTTGTTCCTTTTACTTTTGGTATCTAAAAGAAAGTCTTAAGTAGCCAATTTCCATAGACTGAGGAGCAAAAAACTATCTTAGCATAACACCTTAATATATTGCTTTAAGTTGCAACAGCAGTTTTTTTCTTTCTGTTGGGAAATTGCTTAGAATTTGAATGTGTTTGCCTATGAGCAAGAGATAAAATGAAATCTCAGATTTTGGAATGTAACTTGGTCTAGAGATGTGTGATTTTAAAATATTTCTTCCATATTCTTCTAAGACTCACACAATGCTCTCTGTATCTTGTTAGTTTCTGTTTTCATTTCTTTCGTACTTGCTGTAGGGTTTTCTTCCTTCTGTGATAATAAAGAAGCAGTGGTGATGTAAGTAGCACAGTTTTTCACTTGCCTGTTCAAAAGTTATATTTATACGATACAAATTTTTGTTGACCATGCTAGCAATGGATTATAAAGACTTTACCTCTCTCTTTTTTAGAAATTATAACATAGTTTCTTGAATCATCTGTGTAATTCTAAAAAGTACTCACTGAAATTTTTGGTATATATTAGTGTTTCCTAAACCGCCCTTAGAGAAACACTATTATTCTTCAATTAATCAAGTAGAGCTGGAGCATTTATATATAGAACACTTTGAAGGGTAATAGAAAATAACTAAAATGATGGAAATTTAATCATGTATGTGCTCCCCCTTTTATTAACATGTCTGTTTCTTATGATTTGACCTCAAGCTTTAAGGTGTTATATATTTCTCTTTTCTTGGGCTCTAAAATCACTGCAGATGGTGACTACAGCCATGAAATTAAAAGATGCTTGCTCCTTGGAAGGAAAGTTATGACCAACCTAGACAACATGTTAAAAAGCAGAGACAGTACTTTNTCCTTTACTATCTTCTAGAGTTTGCTCAACCTCATGTTCATTGAGTTGGTGATGCCATCCACCTGTCTCATCCTCTGTTGCCTCCTTCTCCTCCTGACCTCAATATTTCCCGTATTTCTTCACTTTTTACATATCCTTTGTTTTTCATATAAATGAAAGAATGTTGAAAAATGGGTCCTTGACTAGGTAAGAGCATCTTTAAATGGAAATTAAAGATCAAAAATTGTTTCTATGTTAAAAGTTGTAAAAATCATTATCATTGTATTGGTATTCTACTCTTGAATTAACTATTAACCGATATAAACAAATTTCTTTGAGTATAGTTAAAAGTGCATAGATAATTCCACCTATTTCTTGTTTAGACTTTGCAAGAGTTATTATGCTTGTGTAAACAAAATATAGTTGACTACAGGCAGAATTACTGGGAAAAAAATGCATACTATTTGGAAACTTAGTGCTTCTTCGCTTATGTGGTGTTATGACTTAATGTGCTTTATTTTTGTGTTTTAGAAGAGGTCTGTAAATGAAAAATGATATGCTCAATGACTATGCTAATTACCATTACAAAGTTAAAGATGAGGAACTGTCATTCACTGCACTTTTAATTAACTTTATTGCTTTAAAGGAATATATGATGACCTTGTATCCTTTAACTCTTAGAAAAATAAGAAGTTCTCATTTGAAATGAAGTGATGTGTTGTCTGCAGTCTTGCTTACTTTGGCCGCCTGATGTGAAGAACTGACTCATTGGAAAAGACCCTGTTGCTAGGAAAGATTGAAGGTGGGAGGAGAAGGGGATGGCAGAGGATGAGATTGTTGGATGGCACACCAACTCGATGGATATGAGTTTGAGTAAGCTCCGGGAGTTGGTGATGGACAGGGAAGCCTGGCATGCTGCAGTGCATAGAGTTTCAAACAGTCAGGCACAACTGAACTGAACTGCCCTGAACTGAGTCTTGCTTAAGACTTAAAAGCAAGCAAACAGACAAAATACCTGAAGAAAATTTTGTAGATTTCTACTTCTTGAAAAGTGTTGGCTGAATTTTTATGGAAATTGTTCCTGTTGGGTACACTTGATTGGAACTTAAAGATTCTGGGCATAGACTTATAGCAATCAACTTTTAATAGACCAAAGAATACTACAGCAATTTGAAACATTAAAAATTGTAACTTTTTAGCTAGATGAGAAGATAATTATATTTCACATATTGAAATTCATATTTTTTTCATTGTTATGTTTAAAAATTCCCATTGAACAAACATGTATAAATATGTATATCATCTATATTATTGTATTACATTTGGAGTATGTTTATGTATACAGTATTTATAAATGTGGATTTTTTTTTTTAGGATGAATTGCTGTTTTTGCATAGTCACCTAAAATTCAATGAAAATATATAACTTCTAGCATATGAGGCCTAACTGAAAAATCTAGTTTCTGGTTAAAGGATAACATTTTTATATTCTCTTTTGTTTCACATCACTATTCATTTGTTTTCTCATTTAATTTTTAAACTAGGATGTGAATTATGATAAGTTCAGTGAACATTTATATTATCAAATTAAAAATATTCCTGAAAATTTTCCTAATATTTCATAAGTTGAATGCACATGTAAATTCTAGGAATTTTAGGTTCAACTTTACTGATGTCTGCAACAAGTTTTGATGTGATTAGTAGGATGCTAGAAGGATTTTCACCTCCAAATCTAATATTTATTGGTTTTTTACTGATTCTTGATATCTTTTCACTACAGCATCATTTCTTTGAGTACCCTGCATGTAGTTCTCAGTCGCTCAGTCGTGTCTGAATCTATGTGACCCCATGCCTCCTCTGTCTGTGGGATTTTTCAGGAGAAGGTAGACATTTCCTTCTCCAGGGATTCTTCCAGACCCAGGGATCGAACCTGCATCTCCTGCATTGTGGGCAGACTTTTTTTTACTGCTGAGCCATTGGGGCAGGCTAATTGGGCGCTATTAGTCTTTGATTTGGATTAGAGTTTTTTCTTCTCTTACTTACCCAGAGCAAATTTTGATCAGTGAGAGGGTTCAGCTCATGGACTTTGAGGACTGCAACCAGGAAGGACAATGAAACAAGAGATCTTCAGAATTATATTTTTAAGCATATGTAATTATTTTTTTTTGTTATATTTAAAATTTTGCCTCATGAATCTAGCTGTTTAACGTAATAGAACATGACTAACTGTAACACCCCTGCCCTGTCCCTGTACTTTTCCCCAGAGGGATCTCTGGCTTAAATTTTTGTTATAATTTATTTGCTTTTGTAAAAAAAAAACTTTTTATATATATTACATATATATGACATTTATATATATGTGTGTGTGTGTGTGTGTATAGTTTTACTTGTTTATGTGCCTTGTAGAAGTGGGTTGTTAGTGGTGGTGGTTTAGTTGCTAAATCGTTTTTTCCTTTAATTAACATGCTTACTTTAGGACTGAGGTCTGTATGTTTTACCATAAGAAATTATGCATCGAATTTTATTTCTTCAGTGTTTTTTTTTTCAGTGTTAGTTTTGCCATTTTTCTCTATAAGTCTATTAATATAGAGTGTTATACTAATGAATTCTTTAACCTTGCATTCCTGAACAAATCAAACTCATTCATTGCATATCATTTTCTCAATATGGTGTTAGATTATATTTAGTAATATTTTATTTAAAACTTTTACCTAATTATTTTTAATTAAATACTCTAAAGATTTTTGTTGTTCTGTTTTTTTTTTTTAATTTTTATTATTATCAGTCTTGGCTATCAATGTTATGTTAATATTATATCACTCTAGTGAAGTTTTCCTTCATTTTCAATGCTCTGTAATAATTTTAGAGTATTGGGATAATTCATTTTTTGAATTTTTGTTAGAAATTCTCTTAAAATACTTTATAGGGTGTGCTTAGTCACTCAGTCATATCCAACTCTTTGTGATCCCATGGACTGTAGCCCACCAGACTCTTCTGTCCATGGGATTCTCCAGGCAAGAATACTGGAGTGGACTGCCATGCCCTCCTCCAGGGGATTTTCCCCACCCAGGGATTGAACCCAGGTCTCCTACATTGCAGGTGGACTCTTTACCATCTAAGCCACAAGGGTAGACTCCAGTTTGCTCTAGAAGTGCCTAAATAATCTCTAACAGCATTTCTAGAGCACTAATGATGGGTCACCTACATCAGAGTCAGCTGGGGTACTTGCTAANTTTTATATTTGTACTTTTCTCCTTTTATAATAAGTTAATTACTGTTCACTTACTTTTCTTAGAATGTCAGGATTTTGATTAATTTGATCTGCTTTTTTAAACTTTGACATCTGCATTGTCTTTGTTATTTTTTTATGAGCTTTTAAAGTTTTCTGTGTTGTTTCTGTTTTAGTTCATGAGATGGGAATTTAATTCATTTTAAAATTGATTGAAGTGTTCAAGGCTCTACATGTTTTTTTCTAAACACTGCTTTAAATGTATACCATAGATAAGTAATGTTTTCTTTATTTTTTAGAAATGTGTAATGTCTTTACAGTGGAAAATTTAAATTGTACTGTGATTGGATGGATAATGGAGTAGGTGAAAAGAGTCCGGGAAAAGCTTGTTGGTGTTATTTTAACATTTTTAGAAGAGGAAACTGTGACTTAGATTTGTGTAATTTGCCCAAGGCTACATAACAATAAGTTGTTATGGTTCAAATTTGAACGCATTCTGATTCCGCAGCTGTGGCTTTTACTTAAGCAATAATATTGTGAGGTCACAGAGGTACTGAACGGTGTGGCTTAATCAGGGAACAGTAAGTAGCACAGTGTGACTGGAGTGAAATTGGCACTTAGTGGTATCATTTCTGTGTTGGGCAAATAGTTCTTTGGGATACCATTAACATGAAATAAAGCAGGTTTATGTAAGATGATGGGTAAGTGTGATGCATGTACCAGACAGCTAAATGCAACTGTCTAGTGCTTAGGTGAGCCTCTGGATCAGGAGGTCTGTAGAATGGTTTGTACTGGAGATGTGAATCGTTTGTCATTAGCTTATAGATGATAATTTAAATAAGGACTTCTGAACCTGGTAAGAATATTGTGAATACTGAGATGATCAGAGGGTGTAGAAAATAGTGAAATTAAGATTGAGTGGAAAAGAGCATGAAAAACAAGAAAAAAAGTCAAAAACAGTGAAATTAAGATTGAGTGGAAAAGAGCCTGAAAAACAAGAAAAAAAGTCAAAAACAGTGAAATTAAGATTGAGTGGAAAAGAGCCTGAAAAACAAGAAAAAAAGTCAAAATACTAGAAGGAATTTAGGATGTGTGTGCTAAGTTTTCAGTCATGTCTGACTCTGTAGCCTGTCAGGCTCCTCTGTCCATGGGATTCTCCAGATAAGAATATTGGAGTGGGTTGCCATGCCCTTTTCCAGGAATTTAGGATATAGTGGCTTATAGGTGCCAAAGAAGAATTTCAAGGAAAAGGGGAAGTCATTAGTGTTATGTGCTCTGGAGTAAAAGAAGGATAAAATAAGAAAATGTTCATTTAATAATAGCTTAAAGGAAAATTAATATAAGTGATGAGTCTAGTGGAGTGATGGGGGTTTGAAAGAAAAAGGAGATTTGGTTGTGAAGGGAAAGTGTGAGAGGGTGGTGGTAACTATTGGAGTGTGAGTATGAGGGTGCTTCTTTGCCCTCCGTACTTTCCTCGCTCGAACTCCCTTTTCCTTTCCTTTATTTATCTCATTCCTTTCTCTTCCTTTATTCTACCCTTTCTTTTCTTAACATGGCGTACGTGAACATATAATGTTACAGAGTGAGAATTTAACTCATGACGATGTGACATTTTGTCTTACATTATCGATATAAATATGAATAACATGCATGGTGGTATGGTGGTTTAGTCGCTAAGTTGTGTCTGACTTGTGACTCCGTGGACTGTAGTCTGCCAGCCTTCTCTGTCCATGGGATTTTCCAGGCAAGTTATATTGGAGTTAGTTGCCATTTCCTTCTCTGGGGGGATCTTCCCTACATAGAGATCAAACCCAAATCTCTTGATTGCAGACAATCTCCTGACAACAAGGTGGCGTAATGGTAAAGAATCTGCCTGCCAGTCCAGGAGATGCAGGAGCCTTGGGTTCCTCAGATACTTTACCGCTGAGCCACTGGGGAAACCTATCCATACACTTTGTACCTTTTATACCTGAAAGTAAACATACTTGTCCAACAAATTTTAACAATCTTTGAAGTAATGATGAAGTGCTAAAAGCTTTACATATTTTAGCCAATTAGAACCTCATCATCACCTCTATGTCAGTTTTACAAATGAGGAAACTGAAGGAAGTTAAGTAAACTTGCCAATTGTTTTGTACTTACTTTGGCAATATAATTTCAAGGTCTATGCTCTTAATCATAAAGCTGTATTCCTTTTTACTATACTTTAGTGCCTATTGTCATTCCTTTAAAAAGTTAGTAATATTTTTAGTATAATTTTAGTTTAGAATTAGAAGTTAGAATATTTTGACATTTCATGGAAGTCTGTTAGCATATAGAATAATGAAGAATAGAAAAAATAATTTCTGAAAAAGATATATCAAGTACAAATGTGAATTAAAGTTACAGTTTGTTTTTTTTTTTTTTGTATTTTAGTTAAAATAGTGAAATGCTTGTTGGAGAAACTAGGATACCTTACCCAATATGGCACACGGTATTTGAAAAATACAGTATAGCTATACAATAAAAGCATATGTAAGATAATTAAGTAGTCCTGTATGATACCAACAAAAAATTGATACAGTCTTTAGTTTGTTAATACCTAATGACCTTATAAATGTCTTTCTTCAGGGAAAAATGCAACCATTGTGAGCTACCTTCCAGAATTTATGCTAGAGCTTCACTGACGTTGCTGCTGATGCCAATGTGGAATAAAGGTCTTTATAATTTAGACAGTCAAAATGGATAAATAAATTACTCTTAAAAGTGATTTAGTTCCTCTTCTTAAACATTAAACCACACATACAAATGTATTTGAATTTTTAGAAGGAACATTTGAAAATAATCTGTTTATTTTGTTGTTATCAGTATTTTTGTCTCACTTCATGTTTGGAATTGGCTTTCCTTTTGTGACCTTTGTGTTTGAACTCTACAATCTAATAATGTTATGTTGTGAAACTAACTTCAGAGTTGCATTTCACCATTATTTGTCTATGGAAACATACTAAAATTGACCTTAATATGAAAAAAAATCTTCTGTTGTTGTAAAAGAAAAAATTAGCCCAGAGACAGTAGATTAACTGTTGCAATGTCATTGTTTTTCCCCTTAGCCCTGGTAGTAACTAATTCCTCTGATTTGCCTCTTGGGTCATAAGGTCACTGAATACACGGATGCGTGTCCTGCTCATTGCTGTCTTCTTGGTGCCTGGTGCCTGTGTCTGGCACTGGTAGACATCCTAGTGCTTTCTTGTAACTAACTGAATAGGTAAAAAATACAGTTGAATAATTTCTGAGTTGCAAATGCACTCCTGTGGTAATGTATTAGTATGTAAACATTAAGACACTATTGAATGTTTTGTTTGCCTGGGTCTCATATGGAAATGTCATGTTAAATTTAGAAACACTAGTTTTAGATCTTAGATAACAATCCCTGAAAAGGAATCATAGAATCCTCATTTTCCATCCTTTGCTTTTACTTTCCTTGTCCTGTTTCCTTCCCTTCCCTCTACTCTCTTTCTTCTCCTCAATCTGCTTTTTATTTTCCCTTTACTAATACTTTTTTTGGTTTATTTGTTTTCCTTCAGTATCTGGAGTCCATCTTTCTCCAGCTTCTCCTGAGATTGTATTGGACCATGACCACACTTCCCCTTCAGTTGGCTGCCTCTCTTCTGAGCCCATTATTGCATCACCAGAGAATACACATGCAGATAACAGCATTGGCAGTCAGACTCTTCCTAAAGCACAGGTAACGACAAGCAAATTTTTATAGGAAGTTTTCCTACTTAAAAAATTGCATACTGATTTGATTGAAGTTTTCTTGATTTCCTTTTTTTTTCCTGTAGATACGCTTTGAGGTTAATATTTCGAATTATAAAAACTGAACAATGTTTGTTTTGTGACATAATTTCAAGGCATCCAAATAGCTTTAGTTACTATAATATGATTTGACTATCTTTTTTATTAAAATAGACTTAATTTTGCATTGGAAATCGTGAATTTCAAAAAGGAAAATAATTACAAAAAACTTTTTCTCGGGGCTTCCGTTGTGGTCCAGTGGGTAAGAATCTGCCTGCTGATGCAGGGGATACTGGTTTGATCCCTAGTCTGGAAAGAGCCCACATGCCTCGGAGCAACTAAGCCCATGTACCACAAGTACTAAGCGCTCTGGAGATCAGGAGCCACAACTTCTGAAGCCTGCATCTCTAGAGTCATGCTCTGCTACAAGAGCAGCTACTACAATGAGAAGCCTGCACATTACAATGGAAAGTAGCCCCCATTCATGACAACTAGAGAAAGCCCACATGTAGCAGTGATCCATTGCATCCAAAAACATAATAAAATAAATACATACATAAAGTAATAAATCTTATAAAATAAAAAAAAATATTTCTCTTTAAGGGGAACTTAAAATATATTTTCAAGTATTAGAATATTCATTTTAGTTTTAGAATAAAAACAAAAATATAGCAGTCATAACGTTTATTCTTTCAACTGTTTATTGATCCAAGCCTTGTGCTAGATGCTGGAGTTAGTCCAGATTTCCAAAGTGCTATATACAATCTTGAGTCACCTGTGATCTTTACTAGAAAGTGATGATCAATTAAAGATTATTGATAAATTTCAAATTCTGATTTATAGTTTAATAGATAAGCAAATTCTGAATGTGTGTGTAAATTTAAGAACTTGTGAATGTCAGAATTGTCTATACTTATTATACACCCTCAACATAAGAAAAAAAGTTTTAAGTTTTTTAGTGCTTTGTTTGGAAAATAGTAAATACCTTAAACTCTTAAGTTTAGAGAAAATTTTGTTTCTTAGATCATGTTGTTGTAACAGTTTGAGGTCTTCTGTTGATTTACTTAAAGGGTGAAATAATTTCAGAACTTTGCTACAACTTAATTTCCAATGTGGTTTCTAGTGCCCTTTGGGTGATTTCTTTCTTGGTACAGTGTAAACTTTCCTCTCTTGTGTGTGTGTGTGTGTGTGTTTTTTAATGTGGTTTAGATTCAGCAATCAACACACACTCATCTGGATATCTCACTTTTTCCACTGGGTTTAACTGATGAGAAAAGTAATGGAACAATTGCTCTTGTGGATGATTCTGAGGATCCTGGAGCCAATGTATCAAACATACAGCTTCAGCAGAAAATTTCCACTCTGGAGATGAAACTCAAAGTTTCTGAAGAAGAAAAACATAGAATTAAAAAGGTATATTTACATTTGTCTAAAAAATAAATGTTTGAATTGCATATTCTGGAAATACAATATAATCCCAACCTCTGATTGAAAATTCATCAGTGGAAAAGCTGTTATGCTCTTTGTGACAGGTTTAAATCAGTTAGATGAGTCTATCACTTACAAAAGCCTTTGGTAAGAAGTTTCTAGCCATAAATATACACTTTTAAAGATATGAATGGCTTTTACTAGATTTTTTTTTCCCTAATGAATGCTTTCCTTTGGGTTTCTTTAGTTTGAAAGCACATGGTGTTGCAATTTTATGTAGATTAGAAGATTTGCACTATTCATTTGTTTTTATGAGAAGTCAGGCATCATGTCAAATATTGACAGAATACTTAGAAATACAGCTGTTCTAGTAAATTATTTATGTATGTTCTTATTTCAGTTTTCTACAAATGTCTCTATAAAAAGACTTTAGCAGCTTAGGGAAAGTATGTGTTGGGGTCAGTTCAGTTCAGAGGATCAGTCATGTCCGACTCTTTGCGACCTCATGGACTATAGCACACCAGGCATCCCTGTCCATTGCCAACTCCTGGAGTTTACTTAAACTCATGTCCATTGAGTCGGTGATGCCATTCAACCATCTCATCCTCTGTTGTCTCCTTCTCCTCCTGCCTTCAGTCTTTCCCAGCATCAGGGTCTTTTCCAGTGAGTCAGTTCTTCGCATCAGGTGGCCAAACTATTGGAGTTTCAGCTTCAGCATCAGTCCTTCTAATGAATATTCATGACTGATTTCCTTTCGGATTGACTGGTTGGATCTCCTTGTAGTCCAAAGGACTCTCAAGAGTCTTCTCCAACACCACCATTCAAAAGAATCAATTCTTCAGTGCTCAGCTTTCTTTATAGTTCAACTTTCATATCCATACATGACTACTGGAAAAGCCATAGCTTGAACTAGACAGACCTTTGTTTTCAAAGCAATGTCTTTGCTTTTTAATATGCTGTCTAGGTTGGTCATAACTTTTCTTCCAAGGAGCAAGCATCTTTTTATAGCTGCAATCACCATCTGCAGTGATTTTGGAGCCCTCCAAAATGAAGTCTGTCACTATTCCCACTGTTTCCCCATCTATTTGCCATGAAGTGATGGGACCAGATGCCAGCATCTTAGTTTTCTGAATGTTGGGCTTTTAGCCAACTTTTTCACTCTCCTCCTTCACTTTCATCAAGAGACTCTTTAGTTCTTCTTCGCTTTCTGCCATAAGGGTGGTGTCATCTGCATATTTGAGTATATTGATATTTCTCCCGGCAGTCTTTATTACAGCTTGTGCTTCATCCAGTCCAGTGTTTTGCATGATGTACTCTGCATATAAGTTAAATAAGCAGGGTGACAATATACAGCCTTGATGTACTCCTTTCCTGATTTGGAACCAGGCTGCTGTTTCATGTCCAATTCTACCTGTTGCTTCCTGACCTGCATACAGGTTTCTCAAGAGGCAGGTCAGGTGGTCTGGTGTTCCCATCTCTGTAAGAATTTTCCACAGTTTGTTGTGGTCCACACAGTCAAAGGCTTTGGCATAGTCAAAAAAGCAGAAGTAAATGTTTTTCTGGAACTCTCTTGCTTTTTCGATGATCCAACGGATGTTGGCAACTTGATCTTTCATTCCTCTGCCTTTTCTAAATCCAGCTGAACATCTAGAAGTTCATGGTTCACGTACTGTTGAAGCCTGGCTTAGAGAATTTTGAGCATTACTTTACTAGTGTGTTAGATGAGTGCAGTTGTGTGGTAGTTTGAGCATTTGTCATTGCTTTTCTTTGGGATTGGAATGAAAACTGACCTTTTCCCGTCCTGTGGCCACTGCTGAGTTTTCCAAATTTGCTGGCATATTGAGTGCAGCACTTTCACAGCATCATCTTTTAAGATTTGAAATTGCTCAACTGGAATTCTGTTACCTCCACTAGCTTTGTTCGCAGTGATGCTTCCTAAGGCCCACTTGACTTCACATTCCAGAATGGCTCTAGATGAGTGATCACACCATCATGATTATCTGGGTCGTGAAGATCTTTTTTGTATAGTTCTTCTGTGTATTGTTGCCACCTCTTCTTAATATCTTCTGCTTCTGTTAGGTCCTTACCATTTCTGTCCTTTATTGTACCCATCTTTGCATGAAATGTTCCTTTGGTATCTCTCATTTTCTTGAAGAGATCTCTAGTCTTTCCTATTCTATTATTTTCCTCTTTTTCTTTTCATTGATTGCTGAGGAAGGCTTTCTTATGTCTCCTTGCTATTCTTTGGAACTCTGCATTCAGATGGATATATCTTTCTTTTTTGCCTTTGCTTTTAGCTTCTCTTCTTTTCTCAGCTATTTGTAAGGCCTCCTCAGACAGCCATTTTGCCTTTTTGCTTTTCTTTTGCTTGGGGATGGTCTTGATCCCTGTCTCCTGTACAATATGTTGAAGCAGGATGTTGTTTATAGTTAGCTTAAATGCTTTTATGTATTTATTTAGCATGAATGCTTTTAGTATTATATCAAGGTTAGTGTTAATGTTAGTGTTTGGTATTGGTCTGGAAATGAGAGTGAAGTGTACATTTTATATTGTTGAACTTTAAAAACCATATTTCCTGTGGGTTCTTTCCTTACCAAATATTTTCTATTGTGTCATTGAAAAATCAGAGTCTGTTTTTTTGCCATAAATATTACACAATTTATGCTTGTTTTTTGTCTTTTAGGATGTGGAATCATTGATGGAGAAACATAGTATCTTAGAAAAAGATTTCCTTAAAGAAAAAGAGCAAGAGGCCATTTCTTTTCAAGATAGATACAAAGAACTTCAGGTAAACACAGCGAATTAAAAATTTAATATGTAGGCCTTTTGATGATGCATGTCATATATAATTTCAGAAAGTGCTCAATAAATGCTTTGAGTGAGGGATCAGATACTTGCTTAAATATGTAAAATACTGACTAGTATTGATGAAATCAATGATAAATGCCATTTTGAAAAGTAGAGATCTCTGAGAAGCTGTGAAGGTTAGTTGCTTGAGTCTCAAGCTGGCCTAAAATATTCTGTTTCTGATGATTTTCTCAATTTGGAAATTGCACATTCCAGTTTTTCATATTGTGATTACATTTCAAAAGAACTGAGATATTTAACCTTTTTCATAAATGTAATCAGTCTCCTCTTCTCCTCACATTTCCTTAACAAATTTGTTTCTTCTGCAGTCTTATCCTTCTCAGTAAATAGCAATTCTATCTTTCCAGATGCTAAAGCTGAAAGCCACATTTACTCCTTTTGTACTTAGTCCAAGTCATTCCTTTAGCTAGTGCCTCTACCTTCACAATATCCAGGTTTTGACTGTTTATCATTATGGTCACTGCTGCCAACCTATTCTAAGCCAGCCTTATTTCTTCCCTGGAATACTGAAGTATCTTCTGTTCTAACTTACCTTTCTGCTTCTGTCATTGCCCACTTACAGATCATTCTCTGCATGGCAGCCACTGTGATCTGTTTAATAGTTAAAGCTGCTCATGTCATTTCTCTGCTCTGAAACCCTCGGTGGCTTCTCATCTCCCCGAAACTAAAAGTCAAGTAAGTCCTTAAAGCAGTTTGCAAGGCCCTTCATTTTCATGTGTCCCTTCTCCCTCCTTTTCCCTGACTCTTTCTCCTCACTTGTTTTACTTTACCCCTCTGTCTAGAATACACCACCCTCACTTTTCTGCATGGTTTACTTTTTGATATCATCCTGGTCTCCATGCCAGTCTCACCTTACCAAGGGAAATCTTTTAGACAGTGCTGACATCCCCTACCAGCCTTCCCATATTCTCCTTTATTTTTCTCCATAGCACTTTTTACATCTGACAAACTGTGTATTTACTTGTTTATTTGCATAGATCATTTTAGTAGTCTTCTAAGTGGTCTTGTAGCTTCTACCCTTGCTCTTTGCCCCTAATGAGTCTTTGTTTCAGCAGGTGAAATAATATTTTTAAAAATGTGCATCACTTCATTACCCAACCTCAATTATCATTCTCCTCCTTTCAGTGTAAATCTTCTGACTTCTGTCCAACTCACCGCCACCCCCCCCTGCCCCCCCACACTGACCCCGCCTGGCCTCACCTCAGCTGCTTACTTACACTGAGCTCCTAAGAGGTCCAGGTGAATGTGTGAGTCTGTGTTACTGAGAGCATTCCCTGCCTGTTGGGGTGGTGAATGGAGGGAAAGTATTTGGGATTCATTCACATTTTCTCTGACTAGAATGGTCTTCCTTAAGATATCTGCATGGTTTTTGTTTGAAAAAGGTCAAAACTTGAAAATAAGGAAAAGCATTAACAGCGTGTTCTTTCAGTGCCCTGGGAGGACATTACTCACTCGACCTACTCACAGATTATTTAGGAGAAATGTAGCAGTGCTATTAAACAGTGCTCACTGTTTACTGTTGATTAAAAGTCTCAGTTGTATTGATGTTACATGTCAATTTTTTTCGACAGAAAAGATACAAACAGTACCGGCCTGTTAGAATTTCAAAAAGTACTGTTCATGTTAACTTATAGGATAGTCATCATTTTTGTTTCTAACTAGCACTCTTGCTTAGTCTCATACTCTGGTATGAGTATGATCCATGTGTGCTAAGTTGCTTCAGTTGTGTCTGGCTCTTTTTGACACTATGGACTGTAGCCTGCTAGGCTCCCCGTCCTTGGGATTCTCCAGGTAAGAATATTGGAGTGGATTGCCATCCCCTCCTGCAGGGGATCTTCCTAGCCCAGGGATCGAACCCGTGTCTCTTAAGTCTCCTGTGTTGACAGGCAGGTTCTTTACCACTAACGCCACCTGGGATGCCCTTTTATAGGTATGCCAATTGAAATGCTCTTTGCAACGGTCTTAACATCTGATTCATTCTGTTAACATAAATGGTTCATTAATGAAGAGTAGATTAAGTCTGTGATATGTTTCCTTTATATTTATGTGAATCACGTTTCAACTGTTTGAAAACTGTACTCCTTAACAACTGTCATGAACCATTGCTTCCTTTAGAAACTTGCTCAAATGCTACCTTCTTCTGGAAGCATTCTTTGACTACTCTGTATAAAATAAGAACCTGTGTACTTGGTCAGCATTTCCTATCCCCATTTCTTTGCTTTTCCCCCCGTCTCGTCATAATACCTGTTATTTCATTTTGATTTGTTTATTTTTTGTTTTCCCTCACCAGAGTGTGAGCTCCATGAGATTAGGAACTTTCTTTTCCAATGCCTGGAGCAATATTGGCTTATAATATGGCTCAGTTAATTCTCTTGAATGAAAGAATTCATTAATATAATGCACCCTGCTCCCCAAGGGCTAATTACAGTGTGTACGTCCACATTTATCGTCTCATACTTAGAATTATAGTGCTTATTAGTAGGTTCAGTACTGAATACTGGAGCTTCGTGTTTTCTTTCCTCTGCATTGAGTGACTTATCCTGGGCCTGCTCGTGAGACAGATACCTTTGAAATTCCATTTCTCAGTCTGTGAATGGGAACAGTAACGTACTTGAGAGACCAGCCCCTGACATCATAACACTTTGAGCTTTCTGTAGTGAAGGCCAACAGTGACAACATAATGCTGACTTACTGCTTTTACTGTCAGTAGTGATAATCTAGAGTAACAACTTCAGTTTTCAAAGTGGATATTCAGTATTAAAAGTTTTCAAAACTAACATTCAATATTAAAACTAATACTCAATATTAAAAATACTTTTTTACTAGAAACAATACTTCCCAAGAAAACACTTTTTAGGTGATTTTCATTCAGTACCAAAAAGGACCTCTCTCCTTTTCTTACCATGTGTAAAAAAGGAGTAAACTAACTTAGGGAGTATTTTATCACTTTGGCTAAATAAGTGATAGAAAAGTGTACTAGGAAGTCTAATAGTCAAATTGAACTCAAAGACAGGCATTCTGTTTAGTTTCTATATCACTGCTGGGTGATGGAAGAAGTCTGGGTTTATCATTTTGGTCTTAGCTCATAGACCTGGAGAAGGGATCATGTTTTTTTCCAAGGGGTTTGACTTTCAGAGGGTGCTTATTATCTAAGAGTTACCTGTTGTGCTGGGTTGCCCCTTTTGTGAACCTTTGGGTAGAGAAGGATAGCTTTTCTTTGGGCTTGTTATGTTTATGCTCATTGGCACGTCCTCATTTCTGGTCATTCCATTATCCAGTTTGGAATTTATGAGGGAGACTAAAAGCAAGCTGACAAAATTTGCTACTGTGTCATTCCTTGGGTCCTCAGATTCCCAGGCGATCTGTTTTCTTGTCCTCCTCTGTAGTCTTCTTAGATTTGTTTTAAAGATAATGTCCAGGCCTTTCAGCTGTACTTACTGAGAAATCTAGGGAGATGTGCATCTACCTCATCTTAGTCTAGAAGTAAAATGAGAAGGAATATTTTAAGTTTTAAATATTATGTATTATAGCTACTATAGGAAATCAATTCCACCTTAAAATACATTAATTTAGAGCAAGTATTTTGAGTGAATTTTTTTAAAGGAAATTAGTGTAAGTAATCAGCTCATAGAGTCATTGTAGGTAGAGGAGGGGTAAATAAAAATGTGTATCTCAGTTTGTGAGATAATTCATAAATCTCTATTATCAGTATTATACTTATAAGTTTATGCATAAATAGGTTATGTGTTAGGCTTTTTGGAAATATATTTTCAATAAATATTTTTAAATTAATTGTACCTGATTATTAAGCATTGAGAAAATCTTGAGCTTTGCTCTATGACCTACTTTGTGTAATTAATTTTTTTTTCTTGGAATATAGCCCTTTTTAAAAACTGGCACAAAGTTTGTTCTATCTAATACTTTTTAAGAACTAGAAGATGTGATTGAATTTGAGAATATCAAAGGAGAATACTCTATACTAAATAAAAGTAGGATGAAATTTTAGCAAAAGTGAGTTTTGGAATCATGAATATAAAGTTTTTTGCTTGAATTTGTGGCCTATCAGTCATGCCTCAGATATTTGAAAGTTAATGTACTTATTGTATATTTTCTTCAGACTATGGTAATCCATGTAATTTTTATATTAAGCCATATGTTACATACAAGTTTTCTAAATGTGTGTGGAGCTCAATGAAATAGAAAAAGTTTTCTTTTCTGCTATTTTTGATGATAGGGATAATATACTGGTGCTTGCCTCTCTGTGATATCCTAAATAAAGCAAAATATCCAAGAGTACACAAAGATAATCCTGGCAAGACTGGATTAAATTGACTGAAAAGTTTATGTGTGGAGGTGTACAATACAGAAAAAGAAAACAAAATTTACACCTTCTCATCACCATGAAAAATCTAGGTATTTTCAAGTGATCTGAAAATGTAGTGCTTGAATTTTCAGTCACTGCCTCCACTTAGACCAGTGTTGGGTGTACTTTTGTCATGATTTTAGTCTAACCAGAGATGGAGTAATTAATAAATGGAATGTTTGTAAAACCCATAAACTTTGAAAAAAAAAACAAAAACATTAACTGTTACAGAGAATTCTGACAGTGTTGATTTTTGTGATATGGTCTAATTGCTAGGCTAGGTGGAGGGGTGTGAATGTGCCGGTAACAGAAGGAAATAACAAAGAACATGAACCCTGAAGCACAATGGGGCTGTGCACTAGCTCTCTTTTCCTGTTCAGTCCAGGGCGTGTAGCCCAAGCAGAGGAAGAAAAGTGAGTCATGCTGCGTTTGTCGGAGGTAGCTATTTAAAGGACTTCTCGTGAAACATGAATAGAGAACTTATCTTAGTATAATTTGGATTCCAGTGTCTTCTGTTTTATTTCTTTGACTCTCATAGCCAGTACATCACACCTGTG